GTTATAAATGGCGAATTTTTCAGCTGGTTGCACCAATCAGTGGTTATGAACTTGCTTCAGTTTTTGAAGTCATACCTGTTTTACATTGCCTCCACATTAACACCAGATCTGCTGTGGAGACAAGAAGATATCTGACTTATTTTAAGCTGGCGTTATTTTCCCACTTTTCTTGACGCTCTGTGAAATCTGTCATCGGAAATTCCCATCTCACAGCTCTGAATTAGTCACTAGGCATTCTGTGTCTTAACTTGCACCGACAGTGCTGTACGCTTTGTCAGATCCAAAAATTCTCCCTGTATTTCTCAATCTCTCTGAAACGTTTCAGCTCTGCAGCAGAAGTAATTGCAAAGCAGAGATGAGTTGACATATGCCTACGTGACAAAGCGGCGAACTCTGTCTATCGTGTGAAATCGTCGAGTATCCTTGCAGCAATCACCTTATGGGAGATTAAGGCTTGAGATCCTCTGACGCGTCGCTTCGTTCCCTCCTTGCAGTTTTTAATATCTGGGTGTGGCGTCATCTTAGTGTATGCATTGCTACATATCTGGACTTACCGAAGTACAGATACCGGCGTGGCTGCACTGGCCCGAGTTACGAACTGTTCAAAAAATCGAGTCGAGACCGGGATTGCACACTGTGCTGATTGTTACACTAGATATTCAACTTATCAGCTATCAGGTAGGCCAAGGCGAAGCTCAGCCACAAACGGAACTCGCATTTGATGGCATAACCGTATGCTTCGTCCATCCTTGCATGGCAGAATGCAATGTTGTCCCCTACTGTTCTCAGATAATGGACATACTGGCCCATTTTTCAGCTGGTTACGCTGAAACGACAAGGGGTTAATTTCTTGTTGAAGGAAAATCACGATTACGACAATGATTTTGACATCATCAGATTCAAACCATTTACTCCTGGAGTTCAGAGCTGACCTCGTAGTCACTGTTCGGTCATGCTATGCTTATTGCAGTATCTTCTCAAGACTCTGTGCAGTTTTCAAATGCGCTCTCAAT